ACAAGAATGTTTCCAGGATGAGGTCTACAAATTTACAGGTCCAAAATCTTCTGTTTTAGCTTCATATGCTTCCCAGTCTATGGATTTCAAGTTGAAGTCACCGACTATCAACAGTCGTGATCTATCGTTATCCGCTCTCGCTATAATCTCTCTCATTATTGTTATAAGACCTTCACGTTTACTATCTAGCTCCTCCTTTGACCATGTGCTGCTTGGCGGTGGACTATATGCATTTATCATCATTAGTTTATCATCCTCATAGCAGATCTCTAGTGCTATTATGTCAACTTCTTGTGTTCCCCCTCTCCTATTCTTCACTCCCCCTCTCTCTATTGATTTTGTTGGTTTGAGGCAGTCATTATTTCCTTCACCTTTAGGTGTTCTTTTACCAGCACAGCAACGCCACCGCCTTTCCTTATTTTTCTGTCCCGTCTCCAAATTGAGTAGCCCCTTGGGAATATGACCTCATTTAAAATTACATCTTCAAGTTTTGTCTCCGTGAGTGCAACAATGTCTGGTGTCTGCAGCTGTATTACATCACTTAACTCCAGTATCTTCGATCTCACTCCATCTATGTTGGTGTATGCAATCTTCAGGAACTTGTTCCCCCTCTCCTTATTCTTCACTCCCCCTCTCTCTATTGATTTTGTTGGTTTGCCTTTATGTACCACTTTACTGGTTTGCCTACCCCTATCACTTTGTAGAAAAAAGAATTTATTTCTTCTTCTAGTGGCTAGCTATTATTGTTTGCATTCACCATACCAGGTCAGTGGTTCTCTATGGTGAACACAAATGTAGATACTTATATATAATTTGTGTATTAGTGTAATAACAGCAAAAAAATTATGCTGGGAGGAGCCATATGGGTGACGGAGGTGACGTCGTCTGCACGATTTGTCTAGCTGCTTAGAGGGTGGCCACTATGCTCTTTGGGCGCACTACAAGCTTAGGTGTACAGTTACGGTGCACAAGACATGTAGATATTTATATATAATATGTGTATATAGAGTAATAACACTGCAAAAGGTATTGTAGGGGGAGAAAGTTTAGTGCGTGTGACCTTGAATGAGTGAGGGAGCCGCCAGCTGACTGTGTGTATAGCGACGACTCTTAGTGCCTGAACTAACTATATCAGCTTAGCTGTACAGTTGTGGTGAACAAAATATATACATACTTATATATAACGTCTGGTTATAGTGTAATAACACCACAAATGGTATTGTTGGGGGAGAAAGTTTAGTGCGTGTGTTGAGGGAGTGGCAGCGAGTGGCTGGCTGGTGTGTGGCTGTAACTCTTCGTTGCTTTTCGACTCTCAATACCAACTTAGTGGTTCGTTATGGTGACCAAAACATGCAGATACTTATATATAACCTGTGTATAGAGTGTAATAGCAGCAAAACTATTTGTTTATTGTTTTATAAACATAATAATTGAATCACTAATATGTACATCATACTTTTGAGTATAGCGATTATTCACCACTTTTATTATATAAATATATTACAATACACACTATTGAATAATATTACTGCAAAAAAACTAAGAAAAAATAAATCGGAGACATTGAAACAATTAGGTAATAATATCTTTGTGGCAACTCCCACCTGTCAGCGCGGGTGACGCTGACCGGGTCTGACGACCACTCTGTCAATGCCCACTTTTTGCCAGACTTCCTCGGTCAATTGTGCCCAAAATATGTCACCTATGTTTTTTTTTTATTTTTTCCGTGCTCAGGGGGACACAAATTAACATGTTTAGAAGACGAAAAAAAAATTTTGAATTTTTTTTTCTTGCGCACAGGGGTGTAAATGTCCCAAGGACCCCTGAGCAGTGTAAGGGTTAAATTATGGTCACGTCTTATCTCGATAAATGACCATTGTGGGCTCCACTCCCTCGTGTGGGGAGGGACCAACCAGCTCGGCCCTCAGGCTTCCTGAGAATGGCCCGGGGGTGTTCATTTTGTTATGGACAGTGTCAACTCGTTTTGGTGTTGGGCGACTTTTATCTCAGGACATGCGCCACACTACCTACTCATATATCAACATATAGTGAATGTCGCTCCGGAGGGTTCGAGTTGCTCACGGATCGACGATCCGGCTCCTTTCGGACTGCTCCCCAGTGGTTCATTGTCTGAACTAGGGAGGGGGGTTCGATGCGGTCCTTGGCTCTTTGAGGCTGGTCGCTTCAGGTGACTCATCTGCTCAGCTCTCGAGTTCTGAGGGTTTGGCTTTCCTGGCCGTTTACGTTCGGGGGAAGGGGGTGTCGAATGTCCTGGCGGACGGCCTGTCACGTTTCATTCTTCTGTCCATGGAATGGACGGTCAACGCCAACTTGTTCAGATGACTCTGCTGGACATATGGGCTCCCGGAAGTGGACCTCTTCGCGTCGGCGTGGTTGAGGCATCTCCCTTTATCTGTGGTGTCCTTCCCCAACTGTGAAGCCATCAGGGTCGATGCCTTCAGGCAGGACTGGTCGAGGTGGGGGTTACCTGTACCTCTTCCACCCGGTTCCGCTGTTGCTCCAGGTCCTGACTCGATTGGAGACTTGCCAGGGAAGAGTAGTCCTGTTGGCCTTTTCGTGGCAGGCGCTGCTTGCTCAGTGTTCGAACCAGGTGTTTTCCTGCGGCTCCGCATCTTTCAGCAGATCGGACCGCTCCGTTCCGTTTCTGGTTTGATCTTCTCCTCGAGTCTTAGTGTTTAGTCTTTCTGACTCAAGTCTATCACCATTTGTATGGTGATCAGGTGGCTTTGTTAATGGTGTGCCACCTGCAGGCTTTGTCTCTGTGGCAGTATAAAATTTCCTGGGGGTCCTTCCGTTTCTTCTTGTCCCTTTGTAGGTTCACTTCGGTTTCTGATAAGGTTGTTTTGTCCTTACTCTCGTGGTTGTTTCAGGACCATCATCTTAACCTGAATACTTTCGCCTCATATCGTGCAGTGCTGGCGGAATCGCTGCAGTCTGCTTTCGGTGTTGATGTTACTTCTGCACCGTTTTGCAAGGTGTCTCGGGCTTTGTTTCACCTCCGGCCTGCTTATGCGCTGCCTGAGTGATCCTGGCCGTTGGATCTGGTGCTCTCTTATCTCTCTTCCCCTCGGTTTGTCATGGCCCCCTTCGGTTCAGTATTGTTTTTCCAAGGCTCTTTCTGTTGGCATTGGCCTCTGGGGGTCAGGTTGGTGAGCTTCATGCTCTCCTTTTGTGCAGGGGTTTCTGCTCTTTTGGTCCTGGGGATAGGTTTGTTCGTTTGTAGCCGTCTCCTTCTTTTCTGGCAAAGAATGAGACTACTGCTTTCCGAAGGGGTCCGTTGGTTATTGATGCTTGGTGAGGCCAAGGGTGCATCATATATTGTGTCCGGTCACGGCTCTCTGCAGTTTCTTGCACACCACAGCCTCCGTGTCTGGGGGATGCGCTTTGGGTTGACCCAATTTCCCCTTCTTCCCGTTTCCAGGGTTCGGGTTTCTCAGGTCGTCTGCAGGGTTATCCGGTCTAGCCAGCCTGCAGTCTATCCTCGTGCCCACGATGTTCGTAAATTTGCTGCGCTTGCTACCGTCTTCGGTAACATGTCTTGGCCTGACATTCGGGCGCAGGGTTTTAGGTGGTCGAACATGATCCTGGCTGCGCACTATCTGTTCAGTGTTCCTGGGCCTAGTCGGGCCTGTGTCGCTTTGGGTTGGCAGTTACAGCCAGTTGTCTCGAATTTGAGTTGAGGAGCGAGTGCTGACCCCCTCCCGGGTAAGTCCCTATTGTTTTAGTATTTTGGTAAGTAGCTCTGGGGAGCTGAAGGGGCTCCCCCTCCAAGAAAACCAGCGTTGAATATAATGAAACACCATTTTCTGGGTGAGACCCGGAGGCTCCCCGGCAAGCCTCCTTTCCCCTGGTCGGCGTGTGTTTTTTTTTTTGTGTGTTTTTGACATCCAGCCTCAGAACTGGGGTGGTGATAGCTGGCGTGAGTGGTCTGGGGCTTCCCCTTCCACCTCCCGGGAATGGGGGAGCTGCGCAGACAACCAGCGCGACACGTGGTAGTGTCATGTTCGTTTGCTCATTTTTATTTGAGGAGTTCTGTCCACTTGTTTAGCTTTCTGTAGTAGTGTTCACCAGAATAAGGGTTTGTTTTGGAACCCTTACCTTTCTGGGTGTCTGATCTGGTCAATGGCAGACATAGAATGCTACAATTAACATGTGCATATCTATATGTCATTGCTCCTCGTGCCTCTTTTGAGGGGGGCCAGGTTCTAGCTCATGGTCTCCATTCACACTTTTTTTTTTTTACTTTGAGATGTATACAAGAGTTGTTACATTCTTGTACAGCCACTAGTACGCGTAGCGTTTCGGGCAGGTCCCTGGAATACGATCCTTGCCGCAAAGAATCGTTTTTACAACCAAGTACACATTTTACTGTTGAGTTAAACAGAGGCTACTGTTAAGGATTTGCGCCCAGTAAATCCTCCCCGGCCAGGATACGAACCCATGACAAAGCGCTTACGGAACACCAGGCGAGTGTCTTACCACTGCACCACGGAGACTGCGCTGATGCCAAAGTCTAATATATCCATATCAGCCTGGATATGACACTACTTGCCTCTCCTGACAACCACTGACACCACTTGCCTCTCCTGACAACCACTGACACTACTTGCCTCTCCTGACAACCACTGACACTACTTGCCTCCCCTGACAACCACTGACTCTACTTGCCTCCCCTGACAACCACTGACACCACTTGCCTCCCCTGACAACCACTGACACCACTTGCCTCCCCTGACAACCACTGACACTACTTGCCTCTCCTGACAACCACTGACACTACTTGCCTCCCCTGACAACCACTGACTCTACTTGCCTCCCCTGACAACCACTGACTCTACTTGCCTCCCCTGACAACCACTGACTCTACTTGCCTCCCCTGACAACTGGGGAGCCTCTGGGTCTCACCCAGAAAATGGCATTTCATTACATTCAACGCTGGTTTTTTGTTTGACTTTAAGAACAAAATATTTATTTTACAGGTATATCATGTTGGAATCCAGCCTTTGATGTCACACCTGCAGAGTTGATCACTGGCGGCATTGTCACGGAACTAGGAGTCTTCAAACCTGCAGAGCTGCAAAACAAGTTGAGAGCTCAATAATTTTATATGAAAGTCGTAAGTTACAAGTTAGTATTTGTTATATTGTACAAGCTCACTTATCCGAATTATATGTGAATGATCCCTCTTCCGGATAAGCTCGACATGCAGGTAAGCAGAATTTTTCCAGGGGAAGTTCAAAAGTAAACATAGTTTCATTTTTTGTATCACAACCAACATAATTTGAATTTCCACGCACATTATAATTAGTGTGGGATTGGCTGGGTGGTTAGCTGGTTGGTTGGCTGGTAGGTGGGCTGGATGAATAGATGGATAACTAACTGGCTGGCAGGCAGGCAAGCATGGGTGTGGGGCAGCAGGCAGACAGGCATGGGGGGTCGGGAGGCAAGCAGGCACACGACATTCAAAAACCAACCACACTCACTCCTGATGCCCACACCCCACTCCTGATACCCACACCCCACTCCTGATGCCCACACCCCACTCCTGATACCCACACCCCACTCCTGATACCCACACCCCACTCCTGATACCCACACCCCACTCCTGATACCCACACCCCACTCCTGATGCCCACACCCCACTCCTGATACCCACACCCCACTCCTGATGCCCACACCCCACTCCTGATACCCACACCCCACTCCTGATTACCCACACCCAACTCCTGATAACCACACCCCACTCCTGATGCCCACTCCCCCCCTCCAGACACCCTCACACCCCATCCAGACACCCTCACACCCCCTCCAGACACCCTCACACCCCCTCCAGACACCCTCACCCCCCCCCTCCAGACACCCTCACCCCTCTCCAGATACCCTCACAACCCCCTCCAGACACCCTCACACCCCCCCTCCAGACACCCTCACACCCCCCCTCCAGACACCCTCACACCCCCCCTCCAGACACCCTCATACCCCCCCTCCAGACACCCTCACACCCCCTCCAGACACCCTCACACCCCCTCCAGACACCCTCACCCCCCTCCAGCCTCCCTGCCCTCCCAGGCCCCCTCCTTTCCTCCATGCCTCCCTCCCTCCTTCCCTGTCTGGCACACTTTCCCAAAACACCCTCCCAACTCTCGTGAACTCTCAATCCTCCCCATCTTACCAATGCCATCCCCCTCCCAGTTCATCCAGAACGGTCCCAGCCACCACTACCAGTCATTATAAGGACCGATCAAGAAAAGGGTTGTGAATCGGTCACTCACCCTCCACAAAAGTATCCACATATCCCTGTACACACTCACCTCATCCCACAATCACCAAATCTCACACTCACCAAATCTCACACTCACCACATCCCGCACTCACCACATCCCACACTCACCAACACACACACACACACCAACACACACACACACAAAAGGTGACACCCCTAGGGTCAACACTTGCAGCAGAGGAGCACCAGCATATTTCAACAATCCTAAGTATTGTAGTACAGGTTGATGGTAGTGAGTGGTGTCCCAGAGAACATAAAGGTATAGTGCTCTTGAAAAATAGGTGAGATAACAGGAAAGTGCTAAGGGAAGTGAAAAATCGGATGAGAAAAAGTTGCCCTAGTGTTTACAGTGCAGAGAAGAACATTCAAGATGGCCACTGGCAAGGGGAAAAACAAAACAGAGCTTGATTTTGAGGGATTCAATGAAGAAAGCATTGATATTAGCAGTCTACATAACAAGTTGGTAAATTTAGATACTATAGTGAACTCTCATGTAGAAATAATTAGTAAATTGAAAGAAAGTAATGACCATTTGAATAGCAAAGTTTTATGTCTTGAGGGTTTAGTGAAAGACTTGCGCAAGGATAAGAATCAATTGGAAACAAATTGCAAAGCCATGGAAGAAGAAAATAAACTCTTAAAAATAGCTTTGGAAGAAGTTAAAGTAAATTTAAACATAAATGACTACAATAGGTTAGGCAAGGAAATTCAACAGGAGAAACAGCTTTTGTCAGCACAGATGGAGGAAGTTACACAGGGAATAGAACAGTGCAAGAAAGATATGCAACTCACTTATGCACAAGTGGCCAAGGAGAAGGAAAAAATAGAAGAAGCAGTAAAGGAAGTCAAACACTGCAGCAACCAAGATAAAACAAACATTAGGCTAGAAGTGAGGAAAGAATTGGCATCTAACCCGAAGTTGGTGCAAAACACAGTTGATCGGAGTAAGTCCCTGATCATTTTTGGCTGCAAAGAAAAGGCGATAACATCTAGGTCAGAAAGAGCTGTAGAAGAAGCTAAAGTAGTAGATAAAATTGTTGGCCTCGTGGAAGGTCTTACAAACAGAGAGAATGTGTGCGACTACAGGAGAATAGGCAGGTACGTAAAAGGGAAAGATCGACCTTTGAGGATCACCCTAAACGGTGCCAAACAGATGGAAGAAGTACTAAGGAATGCTAGAAAATTGCAAAGGGATGAGGATGGGAAAGGGTGGTCGTTAAGACGAGATCTTTCAAAAGAAGACAGAGAGAAGCTGAAACTGAACCTCGCCGAGGCAAAACATTTAAATGAGAGCAGGAATGAAGAAGAAATAAATTCTTTTTTCTACAAAGTGATAGGGGTAGGCAAACCAGTAAAGTGGTACATAAAGGCAAACCAACAAAATCAATAGAGAGAGGGGGAGTGAAGAATAAGGAGAGGGGGAACAAGTTCCTGAAGATTGCATACACCAACATAGATGGAGTGAGATCGAAGATACTGGAGTTAAGTGATGTAATACAGCTGCAGACACCAGACATTGTTGCACTCACGGAGACAAAACTTGAAGATGTAATTTTAAATGAGGTCATATTCCCAAGGGGCTACTCAATTTGGAGACGGGACAGAAAAATTAGGAAAGGCGGTGGCGTTGCTGTGCTGGTAAAAGAACACCTAAAGGTGAAGGAAATAATGATTGCCAATCCACAAGAAGTTGACATAATAGCACTAGAGATCTGCTATGAGGATGATAAACTAATGATGATAAATGCATATAGTCCACCGCCAAGCAGCACATGGTCAAAGGAGGAGCTAGATAGTAAACGTGAAGGTCTTATAACAATAATGAGAGAGATTATAGCGGGAGCGGATAACGATAGATCACGACTGTTGATAGTCGGTGACTTCAACTTGAAATCCATAGACTGGGAAGCATATGAAGCTAAAACAGAAGATTTTTGGACCTGTAAATTTGTAGACCTCATCCTGGAAACATTCTTGTATCAACATGTTAAACAAGCTACGAGGATGAGGGAAGGGGACGTTCCCTCCATGCTAGATTTGATATTTACCAGGAAGGAGGAAGAGATATTTGACATTCAGTACCTTCCTCCCTTGGGTAAAAGTGACCATGTCTTTTTGGGAATAAAGTATGCAATGCGTTATAAGCTGGAAGAAAATAAGGAGGTTGAAGCAGTTGAAAAACCAGACTTCAGGAGAGGACATTATGGTGACCTTAGAAATTTTTTTAGTGAGTATAATTGGACAGACTTGATGCTAGGCAAGGAAGTGAATGAGATGTATGGCAAGTTTTGTAAAATATATGATAAAGGCACAAAAAAATTTATACCAAAACAGAGATGCAGAACTAGGAAACAGGATTGGTTCAATAGAAATTGCGAGAGGGCTAGAGACCGAAAGACACAAAAATGGAATCAATACAGGAAGAGGCCGAACCCCCAAACATACCAGCGATACAAAGATGCGAGAAACAACTACACGGCAGTGAGGAGAGAGGCAGAAAGAAATTTTGAAAAAGGGATTGCGGACAAATGTAAAACAGAACCAGGTCTATTCTATAAATTCATAAACAACAAATTGCAGGTAAAGGATAATATTCAGAGGTTGAAAATGGGAAATAGATTCACGGAAGATGAAAAGGAAATGTGTGAAACACTAAACGAAAAGTTCCAAAGTGTGTTTGTACAAAATGAAATCTTTAGGGAACCAGATACAATAAGAATTCCAGAGAACAACATAGAACACATAGAAGTGTCTAGAGACGAAGTGGAAAAAATGCTCAAGGAGCTCGGTAAGAACAAAGCAGCTGGCCCAGATGGCGTTTCACCATGGGTTCTGAGAGAATGTGCATCTGAGCTCAGCATTCCACTTCACCTGATCTTTCAGGCATCCCTGTGTACAGGAATCGTAGCAGACGGGTGGAAACAGGCTAACATAGTTCCAATCTACAAAAGTGGCAGCAGGGAAGACCCCCTCAATTATAGACCTGTATCATTGACAAGTGTAATAGTGAAAGTATTGGAAAAACTAATCAAAACTAAATGGGTAGAACACCTAGAGAGAAATGATATAATATCAGACAGACAGTATGGTTTTCGATATGGAAGATCCTGTGTATCGAATTTACTCAGTTTCTATGATCGAGCCACAGAGATATTACAGGAAAGAGATGGTTGGGTTGACTGCATCTATCTGGACCTAAAAAAGGCTTTCGACAGAGTTCCACATAAGAGGTTGTTCTGGAAACTGGAAAATATTGGAGGGGTGACAGGTAAGCTTCTATCATGGATGAAAAATTTTCTGACTGATAGAAAAATGAGGGCAGTAATCAGAGGCAATGTATCGGAATGGAGAAATGTCACAAGTGGAGTACCACAGGGTTCAGTTCTTGCACCAGTGATGTTTATTGTGTACATAAATGATCTACCAGTTGGTATACAGAATTATATGAACATGTTTGCTGATGATGCTAAAATAATAGGAAGGATAAGGAATTTAGATGACTGTCATGCCCTTCAAGAAGACCTGGACAAAATAAGTATATGGAGCACCACTTGGCAAATGGAATTTAATGTTAATAAATGTCATGTTATGGAATGTGGAATAGGAGAACATAGACCCCACACAACCTATATATTATGTGAGAAATCTTTAAAGAATTCTGATAAAGAAAGAGATCTAGGAGTGGTTCTAGATAGAAAACTATCACCTGAGGACCACATAAAGAATATTGTGCAAGGAGCCTATGCGATGCTTTCTAACTTCAGAATTGCATTTAAATACATGGATGGCGATATACTAAAGAAATTGTTCATGACTTTTGTTAGGCCAAAGCT